CTCTTCCGATCTCCCCAAAACCCCAAAACCCCGCCAGAGTGGTATATGCGAACAAAAAGGAATTTGAGTAAAGTAATTTAATAAATTAGTGGTTTTATGATAATCGATACTTTGATATTCAAACTTTGTTATTATTACATTCATATTATGGAGCTTATGATATGATTTTCATTATTGGAGTAGTGATTTTATAGATTTAGTAACTTTTTTCACTACTCGTCTAAGGTAGACTACTAGAGTAAAGTATAAAAGCATTCCCATGATTTATCTCATGTTGAAACCCTTTAATACAAAGGAGGATATGAATAGGTAGACCAGGCAGTGACTCTATATTGACTTTTGCTGATTATTTTTGCTGGCCTGTTTTTCACTTTTCACTTATTGAGGTTTAGAGGCCGTTGCCTTGTCTTTGTTTGAATCTTCAGTAGAATCAGTAAGATTTGTCGAGTTGCTACTAACTGTGACAATTTTCTTGTTATTCTAGAAATATTCATTATCCTCTGACTCTAAGTCCAAAACTCTGAATTTATCGTAGACGGAGCTTGATGATTGCAGTCTTCGTAGGCTTCTCTCATTCAAAATCTAATCGAATGAGTCATCAACTTCAGCCAAGTTTTATTGCTTCTCTTCTTTCTTGAATATGCCTCTTTCTCTTAGAATTTAGATTAGAGTGTCATGGATTTAGTGGCATTTTTCAAAATTTTTTTGTTTAATGTATGTCAAAAATCTGAGGAACAGTGGCTCTAGATGTTAGGGCTAGATATCAAGAATACTCTGAGTGAGTGTCAAAACTTGTTCAAATTGTTAGTCCATTTTAATGTATGAGTAGCCACTGCAGAGGTAGCAGTCCACTATTAGAATGAATAGTGGGTTTTATTCCTGCTGCAATTCAAGTGATAGCTCATCAATGTCAAAGTAACTGGTTGCCTATAAAAATTATTAATCTCAAATAATTTTTAAATTGTAGATATATTAGAAATTATATTTTATTACTATGGCCTATTCTTACCTTGCTAAAACTTCTTAGAGAATCAAAGTAATCTCTGTTCTTAAACCTTTTGAGTGCCTTTTGAATTTAATTCTGGGCGTCAATATCATTTTTCATCTGTTGCTGCCTGGCCAAATGATTGGTTAATGGCCCCTGACTCACAATAATCAGATGCTTTATCGGAGCCATAAGAGTGGTCTAGCCGATGAACTAGGACTTTCCTTGTTCCCCGGTCCAATTTAAGTCTTCTTACTTTTATAGTTGTTATTTTTATGCTTGTTATCTCTATTACAAAATCTGACGTCGTTGATCAGAGTCCGAGTCAAGTTGATTTTAGGCAAAAGAGACGTTAGTGATTTGAGAGAGTTTATTATTCCAAATCAAATCAAACACTCTGAATTTCTCTGCCTCGTAAATTTTACTATTTACGTATGCACTCTTAAGTTACTTGTAGAGCTAGTAAAAGTACTTCTGAGTCTCGCATTTCCTCAGAGAATCCTTCTTCAAATTTGAAAATAAGTCATCGATGTCAAGAGTATTCGATCTTGATAATCTATGATTATTCAAATCTGAGCACAAGTTGTTATTATACACGTTGACTTTCATTTATAGTTTGGTTGTTGTTGTTGATAGGTAAAATTATTATTTGAGAATTCAATTTATAATTAAAATGACATCGATACCCATGAATATATATTAAATTAAGTGATGACGTCAAAGACTTTAATCTTGAGTAAAATACATTGCGTAATTAGAATGTTATATGATTATTTAAAATACTTAGTCATTTATATCTTATAATATTACATAATTTTGCATAGCGGGGTTTTGGGGTTTTGGGGTTTTGGGG